CCCGGTCTATTCCCGCCAAGATGCGTAAAGAATGAGATAATTAACACATCTATTTCACTAGTAAACGGAAAACACCATCAAGCAGCCTAGTAAGGCTCTTGAGAGTACCCTGAACTCTGCTAGCAGGAGCAGAAAATACGTGAGGATTTCTTGAGAAAGACCAACGCGTAGTAAGTTCGCTGCATTATTCCACATCACACCTCCCCATTAATACTTTCTCTTCTACTCTGATTTTTTAAAACACAAGGAAATATGAACCTTACTTGACTGCAGCAAAGACGTTATCGCCAACTTGTGAAATCACGCAGCCCTTCTTGGCTTCGTTCGCACCAACCCACACGGGAAGCTCATCTGGCACATCCCTAGTTATGAAAAAGTACAAAGAGTCAAGCTGTGCCCGTTTCTCCTATTCTGACATAAAACCAACTTGCCTCCTCGCCATGCTACCGTCTCCTTCAGAAACCTAACAAGAAGCACCCTTAGATGTAAAGCTCTGAAAACCTACAAAATCCTTCCAAAGCCAGGCTGTACCAATGCGAAGAGAGCGCACGTTCCCTTCCTCAAGGTTTCACTTGTTTGTCTAAGTATTGTGGCAAAACTTAAAGGATTAATAAGTGCAGGTGCTCTGGAGGCCTGGGGAAGGTGGTTTAATAAAGTATTTCAATCTAGTCTTCAACTCCGACACACTTGGATCATTTTAAATAGGAGATATCAGCCCATGCTATTACAGGAGTGTCTGGTGATAGCACGCAGTTCTCAACTCCTGTCTCATGGAAATCAGAGGAGAAAAAAAGCTACACCTAATGATACTCCAGCAAGACCACGTAGTAAATAAAATACCTGAAGTATCCCATGTGATACTGCGTTTTGCTATCCCCAACCAGTATAGTCTGGAACTCTGGGGGATCATAGAAGAATCTCCAATGAAGATTGAAGTCCAGATCTGCTGATTTTGCTTTTTTGTGTTTTCCAGCGAGGATATCATACGGTCCAACCAACCTAAGTCCAACACTTGGCACAAGTGCATCTGAAAAGCAAAGCATGAACTGGTTCATGGTGGGTGCCTATCTAAACTAACACGTTCCCGTGTCACTCAGGTATCAAAAGCTTCCATAAAGCCAAACAAATACTGTCTAGCAGGCAAGGAAAGCAGAGACATTCTTTCATTCAGATGGCTTCCATGCAAGGATTAGGTGATTAAACTTCTCCTAAGAGGTAGTGGTCAACGGCTCCATGTCTTGATGGAGACCGGTGATGAGTGGTGTCCCTCTGGGCTCTGTACTGGGACCAGCACTGTTTAGCATCTTCATCAACAACACAGACAGCGGGACTGAGCACACCCTCAGCAAGTCTGCAGACAACACCAAGCTGAGTGATGTGGTTTGACACGCCTGAGGGATGGGATATCACCCAGGGGTACCTGGACAAGCTTGAGAAGTGGGTCCATCTGAACCTCATGAAGTTCAACATGGCACAGTGCGAGGTCCTGCATCTGGGCTGGGGGAACTCCCAGTATCAGTACAGGCTGGGTGGAGAGTGGATGGAGAGCAGCCCTGAGGAGAAGGACTTGGGGGTACTGGGGGATGAAAAGCTGGACATGAGCCGGCCGTGTGCGCTGGCAGCCCAGAAAGCCAACCGTATCCTGGGCTGGATCAGGAGAAGTGTGGCCAGCAGGGCGAGGGAGGGGATTCT